TCGGATGTTTGTTCTGAAATAATTCGGTCAATAGTTAGACAGCGACTGGTTCGCTGCTGTCTCATTCACACAGATCGATCGGGGGTTACGTAATCACAATGTCTGAGCCGACACCAGGGTGACGGCTAGGCTGATGGCAGTGGGCCAGGACTGATAGAGATAGAACAAACCTTTTTACGAGCACAGTGAGGGTTGGGATATGCGGATCGCAATAGCCACCGCAGTGGCGAGCATTCTTAACCGCGAACTCTTCGATTTGTCCATTGAAAGCTGATAAATTACAGTAAAGATATTCGGGAGGTTAATCCGGTGACCTGATTCGAACAGATAGGAGAAAATACCGCTTGTAAGAACTACGGTGCCCCCGTTCACCAACCATTTAGGGTTATGTTCTTTAATGCGATGTGACAATTGACAAGCCATTCGTCCAGTATATGTTGCACAACAGGCGCACTCCGAACCAATCACTATTCATCCCTTTGTATCTTAACCTCACATGATTTGTAGCGAGCCCTAGATGAATCATTGAAAACAATTGATTGCCTCAAAATGGTGTCCTTAACGCAAAATTTGAAAATGGGAAGGAGATGTTAGTCCGTAACTTGTAGATCCGAGATGCGACGATTTGGTTCTATACCACAAATAATCTCTGCCAGTACGGAGAGAAACTAAAGCGGCGATGTAACCCACACATCCCTTCATTGCTGCCGTTTGAATCAACGGTGTAGTCACTTTCATTTACAACCATGCTGTGTGTACTCATTCAATGGATTATCGGTAGTCAAATCAACAACTCTAGCAAAGTAAAAAAAAATCACCGCAATAGTACTGTAGATCACATACTGATTTCTGTCACACGTTATAGTACTAATTATTTTGGGTAACATTATATCGTATTTGCACACACAAACCGACTGTCTGAACCTTCCACATCAAACTAAGCTCTGTGTTACTGCTCTCCACGCCCTTTCTGCCAAACGTTACGTAGTCAGTCGATCCTTACCGAACCGGTGGGAACGACACTGTGCCCTGTTACGAAGGCCGACTCTAGGCGGTTACTCAAGTTCTCTCTCGTTCCTCACAACCCAGATAATGTTTTACTGAAGAATGAGTAGAAAAGATTACATGCCTCGCGGCAAACGGCCTGTTGTGTCGCTTGCAACATCTGCAACTCACGTTCACAACGAGAACACTCAGACGAGCAGAGACCAAGTTCGTTTCCATTAGAGAATGACCCTGTTTTTACAACAGTACGTCTGGTAGACGAGCAACAGTCAAGGTAAACCGAGGCACTGGAAACACTGGACTGAGTAACCCAAAAAGAGTGTAGTCACGTAAAGCACCAGTTAGATGCACTCGACGAGAACTAAGTGATATTGTCAAGCTCATGGGGAACATTATGGTAATCCACTAGCAAAAGGACTGTTCCCCGCTAGTAAGACTGTCAGAACGGTGCACTAACGCAAACGTTAAGAGATACACGCAACAGAAGTGGAAGCGTACGCTTACGAGCAGTTACCAAATTGCCATCTACCACCTGGGTCATTCCTAGAGATCCAGATGCAACCTCAGCGGGTTTGGCCGATGTAGGTTTGGGAGCGAATCATGGTCGATTTGCGTAGAGGGCAAAGGTCGTCTTTCTGCCTTCGACAACAGTTGCTTTCGGAAGATCCCTTGCGTATTGTGGCAACACCGAGTTCACAGTGATGATGCTAGACGCATGAAATTGCTGACGTCACGTCAAGCCACCGATGGAATCGTACGACTTCCAGGATGGGGACCCAAGGATGAGGAGTGCCAGTGGCTTAACGCGCTTGAATACATGTCTCTCAACCGGAATCAGTGGTATTATTGTATACGGAATTGTAGTACTTGACATGTTTAACCCATCAAACAGTGAAAATTATAAATTGGCAATAAATCGGCGTGTGAAAAATAGAGACAACTGTTTCGTTCCTTCTATTTTTGAGTAAATCGTACTTCCCCTTGATTCCCGTGTTATTTTTCTGGTCCCATGTCCATTTCTTGGACGGTTTATGACGAGAATGATATATATATATATATATATTGCAGTGGAAGCGATCTTTTGAGTGAATTGTTCATTTTGTCTTCTGTAATGTTACACTGGTGCAATTTAAACGTCATCTCACTTCAAGGTAGCATCAGGAAATGTCCTGCGCGTGGTGCCACTTGCTCAAGCTACTGGAGTACCGTAGCGGTTCACAAGCTTCCTCACTCTCCACTTGGCTATTATCCTGAATTCATTTGCTACCTTAAGTCCCAATGTTCTTCATTTTTTGCATGAAATCTATTGTTTTGCGCGTTGGATACTTACATCGTCGGTTACATTTATGGCGTTTGCCGCTAGTTTTCACAAGGTAGGGATGATGTTTTGTAGATTGGATTTTCTTATTCTGTTCTTTACAGCTCGATCTATTATAACCAAAATATTTTAGTTTCATTTCTTTTAGACCATCAACAAGCCTCTACGGATTGTTTTCTCTTGCTGATCTGATTTTGCCACTTTAATGGCGTCAATGTTCCCCCTGGGCTAGTGTGACGGTACAGTTCTGAGTTAGCACTATCCCCAGAGAACCACGCCGCTGTTATATATCAAACAAAATGCAATCACTGATAATTCGCTTGAAAAATCGACGGGTTACTGGTTTACGAGTGCCACGAAGGTCCCTTATCTCGTTACATGACTCTGCACCGGTGTAGTGCACAAAACCCTAACAAGCAGACACCGGCATATCCCACGGTGCGGTGCATCTGTGGTGCTTACTGCACCTTGGTTTACTTCCATGGGGTGATGTCAACGCAGTTCATACTTGCCTACTACTCAGTTGAGCGCTGACTGTGAATTTCGTTTGTCTCACCTATCGGCAACCACTACATCTTGCGGTCCAGCTTTAACTTCGGGTAAAGAAACCTTGAGGCATTTATCCATAGATAAACCAATCTTGGATTGCAGAATCGGGAAGTCGTAATGACTAAGGTAATCAGTGTTCTTAGTTCATTTCGATAAGCTCCATTTTTGGTTGTTCTTTTGTTTGAATTTAGTATTGTGCATCAGTCGATGGTTTTAGTCCGCGTATGGTCGAAGCAACAGGCTGGTCCATTTTTTCCTCTTTACATTTAAACAACTTAAGTCTGGGCAGTTTGAAGCGGCCTGCTAATAGTTGTAGCAAAGCACAGAATAATGTTTCTTTTGGCGCTAAGTACTCCTCTTCTACGCCAATATTACGATTGATCGACATCTTTGGACCCCATTCGGCCTACCGCCTCTTCACGCTTTAGCGCCGAATGTCGCGAAAACGCTCAAACCCTTTCTTTAGCAAATTCAACCTAAAATGCGCATATTTTCTTTCTGCGTTGGTTTTGGCATTTTCGTGAAGTGCATCTGATTCTATCAGTATAATATGTCACCGCAATTTGCGGTCTGTTTTAAAGTGACAGCCACTTAAATGTAGTGAGTTTGAAGGTGAACTTGACGTGTCAATTTGGCTCATAAGGGGTTAACCACATAACACCGGATATCGGGAAAGCGTCTCAAACCGTTTCGTTCGCAAATGCAACCTACAGTGCACATATTCTCTTTCAGCGTTGCTTTTGGCATCTTCTTGAAGCAAAACTGATTCTATCAGTACAAAAGGTCACCGCAACATTTAAAGAAAAAACAGTCATTGTGAATAATGTAGAAGTAAAAGCAGCCAAATGGTTTGACAACAGAGCAGTTATTGTTGCCAGCACTTTTGACACTGCTCAAGTAGGTTGCAGTAATCAAAGCTGGGACAGAAAGTTGCAAGTGTATCTATCTGTGGTGTCCAAGCATTATCACCCTGTACAAGCAGTTCATGGGCGGGGTTGATGCTCTGGACGCAATGATTTCCTATTATCGGATCCTTGTCAGGTCCAGAAAATACTACCAAATTTTTTTCCATTTTGTTGACGTGGTATTGAACAACAGCTGGTTACTCTATCGGCGTGATTGGGACCCCCTGGCTGTATCTCTACAGCAACAGAAAGACTTACCTGCCTTTAGAACATCTGTTGCAGTGGCACTGTTCATGCAAGCAAAAGACATCGATGAAGAAGAGGGGACGGACTTCACCATCAATTGAAACGGGGATAAAAAGGAAGAAACGCCGAGGTCCAGCTCATGCTATTCCATCACTACAAGTCCGTTCAGATTCCGTGGGTCACTGGTCCGTGGTTGATAGTGCACGGCAGCGGTGCAAACGCCTAAATTGTATGGGTCAGACAGTAATCAAGTGCACAAAGTGTAATGCTAACTTGTTTCTCAGCAAGACGAAGAACTACTTTAGCGAATTTCACGAGTAACACTGTTTCTCCTTATTTGACTTTTCGTGATTTGTGTCGAAATAAATACTGCAATTTGGATTGTGGACAGGAAGAATTGACCAAATTTTGCTTCACTAAACTGTTTACATATCAGTGACTGGGAAATTTGTTGAGTCATCATTTTGCCTATTTGTGCAAGATGTCGCGCTTTTGCATCAAACCCAAATTTAAATCTATGGGATATTTTGTAATCAACATAACTGTTGTAACCTTCTTTAGCACCTGCATGTTAGTGAAATGGCAAATATGTTTTCTAACATTGGCAGAAAATAAATTTGGCGCGGAGGTGTTAAGATTACATGATTTATCATCGACAACTCGACGTTGTGTTTATTTGAACGACGCATGACTAGAGGTCGGTTTAATAATGCTCGTTGTGTGTATGGACTGCGACGTTTAATCGCAATGTGAACAGTGATTCACATTGAAATAAACCTTGAGGAATCCACTGCGACTCGTTGGCTTAAAAAGGGTAGAGGTTTCGGCTGACATCCAAAGGTTCTGGGTTCGAGTCACAGCGCTGTTATCGCTACCTGGCGCCTGCGATCGAGTATGAACTCGGTCTTGGAGTGCAGTGTGTTGCGGGCGGATAACATCCAACCTCTATGTGACTCATATTGTGGTTTATTTCACAGGTCAGTGCGAATGTCAACACAATACCGGGGGAATATTTTGCGATCGATGTGCAGATGGTTACTATGGGAACGCTCTGGACTTCACTAATTTGGCTGGAGCTTGCAAACCGTGTCCTTGTCCCACGGGAGCAAAGTGCGAAGAGGTTTTCTGGCCGGACCGTAGCGTCAAAGTGGTCTGCACAGATTGTCCGCATAACCGAGCAGGTAAGCACCCCCTTCAATCCCACGTGATCCTGTACCCGTCCATTGCATACTTTGCATTTACTTGTGAATACCATTTATCAGAATGTTTCTGGTTACTTTGGAAGCATAGCGTGATCTCGCACTCGTTCGATGCCATAATTTTATAACTAAGCTTACTGAATCACAAGTTCCATACCGCTTACGTGAAAACACGGGTTTAAAGTAATTACCAATGGCATTGGCCGTTTTGTTAACCACTGTTGCCTCGTGTTTTTTTTCTTTCCAGGAGCACCACTTGAGTTGTAAACTATTGAGTTGATCATTCACATGTTTACTGCATTTAATTCCTTTCAAAGAAAATTTTGTTAACAAGGACATATCGCTGACACAAATGTCATGTATTTGTGCTTTTTCTACCTACTCGAGAAGCTGTTGTCTGGGAATCACTGGTTATGCCGGATGCTTATGCACCGGCGCTTGCCGTACGCGTTTGTCAATAGATCTTGGCTTCGTGGATCGGTCCATCCAATTGTGTACGCTGGTTGTTATCGTTGGGTCCATAGATGCTTCCACCTGAGCTGAAAGACCATTTACGCCTTCTTGGTGTGTTTCAGTTTGGTTGTGAAAGCTAAGTCGAACGAGAATAGGTAGCCTCGTATCAATGTCCGAAAGCTGTTAGCTGCTGTCAACTGCGTACTAATGGGCTTCGAATGCTAGATGAGTGAATTCGCAGGCAAGAAACTGGTTTACCCAAACTGAACGTCGATTTGGAAGCCGAAAAAGACAAATTACACGCGATGATCACACATTAAGTATCTAAGAGACACAAGCGTTTACAATCGTTACACAGTTGACTCATCAGCGAGCTGGTCAGCGGGTGCTCACCCTGTGGAAACTGGTACCTGGGATTAGGCTCATATCCGCTATTCTCACACACGAAATCAGGTGAAAGGACGTTCGCGTCGAACGGTACTGAATTGATTGATGTGAGTTCGATGCGTTGTCTACACACTATTAAGTTTGTGCATTACAATCAGATATATCAATGAAAGCCGATAGCTCGAAACTGCCGATCGGTGTGCATGATGTGACACATCCTTCGATCTCGCCTCTCTGCCGTGGGACCCCGCATTCTATGAAGGTTATTTTAACTTTTCGCTGATCCCTCTTCTGTTTGGGGACTTTGGACCTCCATGCACGTGCTATTCTGTGGCAACTCAGGTGTAAGGAAAGGATTGGAACAACCAGGTGGAGGAAGGATAACTCACGCTGCACATGCTTTGCAAAAACAGCGATGCGCGCGAAATACCTACCAATGCCCGTGACCTAAATTTGGCGGGTTGCTTGGAGGGAAGATGGATTGAGGTGAGTTGTGATTAAGCTGGTGAAAGATATTAATTGGCCTAATTCATGAATCCCATCGCAATGAGGCTGGACCTTACCGTGGTGCGATGGTTTGCGTGCCTCAGAGATCCATTGAGCTATGCTGGGTGGTGCTTTTTTTGCACCTTTAGAGCCACTCATACCAGATTGGTCAATGGTTAGAGGCCAGACAAACTCAGCCTCCTGGTCCTCCAGGTTGGGGGTTGGAATGGGGGTGGCTCCTCATCTCATAAAACGGGCTCTGTAGTCCAATGCCAAAACCCGCTGCCTTGCGGTAAGGTTTTTGAACCAAAGGCTTTGGTTGAGAACCCTAATCGTTCTCCTGTCTAGGCCTGGGCAACCTGACAGTATTCTGCCCACGCAATACAATGAACCTTTCCTACAACAATTTCTTGATGCTCTGGCCGTCGCAGAGGATAATAAACGGCGCCCTATCTGCTGCATCGAGCAGGGTGGATAGGGGTTTGGATGCTACTGCTCAGGCCTTCCCGTCTTCTTATACCCCTTCTTGTGCTTCTGCATCCTTATTGTCCCGCTCCAACTTTACTTATATCCCCCCATTTTCAATCCCTCAATTCTTGGCCCTCCCCCAGCTTACTTCAATAGTCGCTTGTCTTCTAATTTCAAATCACACACAATCGCAGGGTCTCGCTCCAATCCAGTAGACAAGTCCATGTTCAACCAAGCGGACAACGTCAGTTCATCCGTTTCCCTTTGGAGTCCTCGTGTCTCGCTAAGATTGGCATGCCTCAACGTGCGCACTTTGCTGCAGATTGGCCAACAGGCAGCACTTGCCCGCACATTAGAGACCCTATCGATCGATATTTGCTGTTTATCAGAAACCCGCCTGCAAGGTTCGAGCTCCGTGCTTACCCTGAGATCCCCCACATGCGACACTGGCGGCACATTCTCATTGCGCCTATCTGGCGATGATGCAGCTTCAAATGCCGGTCAAGCTGGCGTCGGCATTGTTTTGAGTCCCCGGGCTGAAGCTGCCTTGTTTGATTGGATCCCAGTAAACAGTAGAATGTGCGCCGTTAGATTAGCTGGTTCGTTCCGTGCTTCGAAGTCGCGCGGGGACAAACGGTGCCTGTTTGTCATTGCGGCCTACGCCCCTACAAACTGTAGCACTGATTCGGTAAAAGATGATTTCTATCAGCAACTTCACGAGCTCCTTCGTTACAGAAGGAGTACGGATACTGTGGTGCTGGCTGGCGATCTAAACGCCCAAGTCGGAAAGTTGTCCTCTGATGAGCTTCATCTGGGCGGCCAACATGGTGTAGGCTCCCGTAATGATAATGGTGAGCGATTGCTCCAGCTGTGTGAAGATGCTCGCCTGTTTCTCTCGAGCACTAACTTTCGACACAGCACCCGCAGAAGTGTGACTTGGCGGCCACCAGCCTCGGGCCAGTCATGGACGCAAATCGATCATATCGCCATCAGTTACCGCTGGAGAGGCTGTGTCCAAAACTGTCGCTCGATTTGGAGCACGAGCGTGGACTCTGACCACTCACTTGTATGTGCCGACCTCCTGATGCATTTCGGTGGACGTCCGCAACGTTGATGTGAACGGATTGACACTATCCAGCTTGCGAAGTCAGATGTTCTGAATGTGTACCAAGATGCGCTGACATCTGGGCTGAGTAAGCGTCCACTAAACACCGTTGAAGATCACTGGTCGCATACTCGTCAAGCGTTGCTGTTAGCAGGCATGTCTTCATGTGGCAAAACAAATTGCAAAACCGGACATTGGGTCTCTACACAGTCTCTCGAACTTATGGATGCTCGCCGACGTATTCCGGCTGGAAGCGTATACAATAAAGCACGCAAAAATCTCAGGGCGAAACTACGTGCTAGCCTAAAGAAGGACCGCGAAACCTGGTGGTCTCATCGTGCCTTTGAGATGGAAACTGCCGCTGCCATTGGTAATCATCGTGAGTTATACCGTCTGATACGGGCAACAGGCAGCAGAAGACCTGGTGTTAGCGAGACCATACGCGACGAGAGTGGGCAGATGATCCACAGCCTGTCAAAACGCTTGGAGCGTTGGGCTGAACACTTTGCTAGACAATTTAACCAACCTAAGTTATCGCTTTCTTCTTCGGGCATTGAGCGCCCTTCTCCTTGGGCCGTCTCCTTGGATCCGCCCTCACGCGCAGAAGTCGAATGTGAGATCAAGCTGTTGAAATTGCATAAGGCCGCAGGAGCAGATACGATTCCTCCAGCTCTCTTCAAATTCGGTGGACCTGCTCTAGTAGATGATCTACACGAGTTGCTAGTAAAACTTTGGGAGAAGGAGACAGTCCCGACAGACTGGAACCGCTCCGTCATTGTCCCAATTTTCAAGGGAGGCTCCCGTTTAGAATGTGGCAATCATAGAGGGATCAGTCTGATTTCGATTACCTCTAAATTGCTTGCCTCTCTCATTCTCCACAGACTGAGTGGCACTCGTGAAAGCCAGATTCGTGAAGAGCAAGCCGGATTTCGTCGAGGTCGGGGCTGCATCGACCACATCTTCACATTGCGTCAAGTGTTGGAGCACCGCCATGTTTATTGGCGACCCACCGTTGTCGTGTTTCTTGACATAAAAGGTGCCTTCGACTCAGTCGATCGATGTGCCCTTTGGGACTGTCTGTTGAGGAAAGGTGTGCCTGATAAATATGTAAATATTATCAAAGCGCTGTACGCACATAGTTCGGGCTGGGTGAGGGTTTATGGCAAACTCTCGCCACCCTTCAGTATCACCAGCGGTGTGAGACAAGGATGCCCGCTGTCACCTTTCCTCTTCAACTTCGCTATTGATGAAGTCATGGAAACAGCGTTCGCTGGACACGACCTAGAAGGTGTGGAGCTACTCCCTGGTGAGCGACTTCTTGACTTGGAGTATGCAGACGATATTGCCCTAATCTGTGACAGCTCCCAAACATGCCAAACAACACTGAACCGATTAGCACTGGCTGTCAATCGTTTTGGGCTATGCTTTGCTCCATCGAAATGCAAAGTACTTCTCCAAGATTGGCAAGGACCCAACCCTGCGCTAACGCTTTGTGGTGATCTGCTAGAAGTCGTTCAGGAATTCAAGTACCTGGGCAGCTATATTAGCACCCGTGGGATTGAAGATGAGGTTACGAACCGTATAGCAAAAGCTCGAGGTGCTTTTGCCAATCTCCGCCACCTGTGGCGCAGACGCGACATTACTCTCGCCCTGAAGGGCAGAGTTTACAACGCAGCTGTCCGTTCAACTCTCCTATATGGCTGTGAAACCTGACCCATCAGGTCGACAAACATGAAGAGACTCGTCACATTCGATCATCGCTGCCTTCGCAGCTTAGCTCATGTCTGGTGGGAACACCGCGTGAGCAATGAGCGTGTTCGGCGTCGCGTATTTGGTACAGGAAGAGCGAGTGAACCGCTCAGCACGATTATATCACGCACCAGGCTCCGATGGCTGGGCCACGTGTTGCGCATGCCAGCACACCGACTCCCACGACGTGCTTTGTTTACGCGTTGTGGGTGCGGTTGGAAGAGGAGGAGGGGAGGCCAAGTGATGACTTGGTCGAGAGAAATGAAAACCCTCACTTCGAAGTTGGCGTCGGTTGGTGCATCCCGACTGCCTGGTTGGGGTCCTAAGGACGGTG